AAACACATCAACAAGGCAGCAACCAAAGCCAGAAGGAGGGTAGCCTTTCTGAGAAAACTAAGTGGAAGCACTTGGGGTGCTAGCGGGAAAATACTTAGGAAAGTTTATCAACAAAGTGTTTGACCACATCTTGAATACAGATCAACAGCATGGAGTTCGGCATCAAAAACCACATTGCAAGAATTAGACAAAGTGCAAAATCAAGCACTCAGAGTTACCACAGGCAGTATGAAATCAACACCTATAGCTGTGATGGAGAAAATGGGGATGACCCAAGCACTGAGTGAACGCAGAGACACCAAGATGCTTTTACAAGCAGAAAAGTTTCTTAGTATGCCCAGTCACCCTATGAATGAAAGATTCCAAAATCTAGCTTTGGGACGACTAAAGAGAAGTAGTTTCATCCACCAGGCCAAACGGCTCTGCAGACAAACCATTGATTTGCCTGCAACTGATAGATCTTTAAATGCTGTCCCAGAAAGGACCCCCTGGAGAGAGGAGTATAAGTTTCCAATACACATCAAGACAGAAGTGAAAGGAGTATTTGACAAGGAAGAACAAAACAGTGTGAACGCAAAACAGCCACCCTCAGTCTACTTGATGATGAATACCCACAGAATCTTTGGGTCCGTGTTTACACAGATGGGTCAGCAGAAAGTGCAGTCAGAAACGGAAGTGCATGAGTGTACATTGAGTATCCTAATAATACCAGGGATACAGCCAAAATACCAACAGGAAAGCACTGTCACAACTATGATGCAGAAGTTCAAGCCATCAAGATAGCGGTTGAGAAACTACTAAATACAGGGTATTTTTCAAAAGACGATTACCATATTATGGACAGACCTGAACAAGTCATTATCCTTCACCTTAGAACAGGACACAATCGACTTCGCTGACACATGTACAACAAATTTAAGATTGGCCAATCAGGGATGTGTGCCTGTGGACTGGCACCTGAGACAACAGATCACATCCTCCAAGACTGTTTCAGATTAAACGCTTTCAGGCAAAACTTCTGGCCAAAAGAGACACTCGTGGAAGTCAAACTTTACGGGCCGCTTAGTGAATTACAAAAGGCAGTGAAATTCATACTAGAGACAGCATTGCAGGTATAGATAATTTATTCCATGCCAACGAAAGAAGAAGAAGTTATGGGTGTGTATGACTGTTCATATCATGTGACAGTTATTAACATGTATCTGTTATCAAACACACTTTCTTTTCAGAATTCATTATTTTTGTGTGCAAATTTCATTTAAAGGTGATCTGCTATGGTCTGAACACACAGTATGTTACTCAATTGTGTGCGTTGTGGTTGGGGGAAAGATCTCCGTTTTGTTATTCTGATAATTTATTATTAATTAATAAGCACCTTTATGACTTACCCTAACAGTAGAACACAACTGTCAAAACAGAAGTTAAAATGTATACTGTAAAAAGAAACTCATAGTTATGCGACGGTGCGTTTTTATTAGTCTGTACATAAAATTTTATTATTAATTAATAAGCACCTTTATGACATGCCCTAACAGTAGAACACAACTATCAAAACAGAAGTTAAAATGTAAACTGTTTAAAAAAAAACTCACACACACAAAGAAACTCATAGTTATGTGACGGTGCGTTTTTATTAGTTTGTAAATAAAATATCGTACTCGGGTATGTGAAAAGCAGTCTCAAATGTTGTTTACTGTGTCCAGTGGACTTGTGGACATAAATTGCGTGGATTTTTATAATCGTTATAATGCAGTTGTCAGTTGTGTTTGAGAGCATTGCCCATTATGCGCACAGGAGAAAGCAATACGTTTGTGGCGAACACTATTCTCTGCCTTCGCAACTGAAACCCTATGCAAGGATAAGGCTACATCAAAACACCTAGTTCATTTTCGAGCAGTCACGAATGGTGCCTCTATCGATAAATTTAAGGAATCTTGCTATTGGCCAATTGCAGGCAGGAGAAAGTCAGTCAGGTTGCCAGGCATTTAAACTTGCATCAGAGTACCAGTGGTCGACTTCTGTACCGGTTCCATGCCAATGATTCAGCTGAAGACCAACATCGCAGTGGACGATAACAGCAGCAGAGAATCGCCTTAGTCGGTATCGTCAGATCAGAGACAGATTTACAACAGCTTCCTCAACTGCGCAGGCTTTGCATCCGGGATGTCACGTGTCTAATCAAACTGTTCGGTGAGACTGCATGACGTTGGACTTTGGGCACGATGACCACATCGAGGACCTGTTCTTAAGCGTCGCAACCGCTAAAATCGACCTCTTTGGGCAACCGACATAGTCTCTGGGCAGGTGACAATCAATTCTTTCTTTCTGTTGCAGCGTCACGATAAATGGGTAGGGTTTACTGTAGGTGAAATTGAGGTTTAGCCCACAATTGTGTTGATGAAGCTTTGCTGCGCGGTGGTGAGGGTGTTATCATGTGGGGAATGATCAGTTACATGGAAGGTAGTCAACTGGTGCACAATGAAGAAAGCTTCAATGTGCAACAAAAATTTTCCACCACATGTCCTTCAATTCGTGGATGCCAACAGATATCTTTTTTAATAGGACAACGCCAGAACCCATTTTGCATGTCTGGTTACGAGACGTTACTCCAGCCAATGGCAGTAATCTGTTCCAGATACTCCAGGAAGAGTAGGTATCAGACATGTGATCGCATCCATGCCTAGGAGATGCAAAGTCACTGATCCACGCAAGAGAAAGCCACAAACAATACAAAGGGGGAAAGGCTGTACGCCTAAAGTTATCGTGACCCAGATGCTAAAATAACGCGTCAGTCGATTGGCGGAACCTTAAGTTATTCGTGTGTGAAATTGTAGTAATTTTACTTATTGCGTTAATGCAGAATGTCAAAACTGTGAGTATGTATGTTCCTTTCAGTAGCTTTGCGTTTCTTTGTGTGTGTGTGGAACAGTATAGAATAGCTTAAGCAAATACGAAATGAAGAATATTCTATGCAATCTTTTTTTTCAAGGTGAAAAAGAATTCTCAGGAGCTATATAAATCCTACCCTGATATACAGAGTGAATTATGACCAGTTGTCCAAAAAGTGAAAAAAGTATATGGAAGCAACATAAATATGGTTTTATACACGAATGATGAGAACACCCTTGAAGATCAAAAGTGTAATGATGTCTTGAAAGAACTGACTCAGGAAGAGAACTGACTGCCCAAGACGGGCTCCAGCTGACGGGCTGTGCTGCTGACGCCACTGGGTCGGGCTAGTGGTGCGTTAAAGCAGCGGTTTTCAAACAAGAACTAAACTATTTTCAACAGTGGCAAGGGAAGACAACTTAAATTTGAATTTTTTAGTATTTACATGCCTTCTTTATTAATTTCACAATTTGTAGCCGACTTTTCTTGATTATTGCCACAGCATCCCTGGCTTACGCTCACGGCACCCAGTTCGAGAATCGCTGCGTTAATGCATCGTTAGCCCGACCTGGTGACGTCAGCAACACGGCCCGTCAGTTGAAGCTGGTCGTGGACTGCCCACAACACAGCAGAAAATCCACATTCTTTGGTAATGTCAGGAGAAGGAGAAAACTAATGCAGTGTGATAGTGGGAAAGCTGGAGGAGAAAAGAGGCAAAGGAAGACAAAGAGAGAAGTAGCTGACAATTTTTTTGCTATCGTGGCATGAAGGATCATCTGTGACAGGATTTACTGGAAGTACACAAGACAGAGGGCTGTGGATAATATGACTTCCAATGCCATACAACACAGACAATAAGAAGAAGATATAGACCAGGACAGCCTTTAGATATAAAATGTCATAACCACAGGTTTGCAAACAAAAACTAGAATCACCCAACAAAACATAAAATATTTTTAAGTTATTATGAAATGAAATGTGTTCCTTGCAAAAAAATTTTTAACAAAAAGAGAAAAAAATAACAACACATTTGGAGGGATATTTTTTTTTTAAACCTCAGTGCCATGAAAGGTGGCTGAGCAATGGGCAGCTCCGAGTTAATGAAGCATTTTACTTGAATTGGAAGTGAAAAAGTGAAATGAATGTTTCTATAAATGAACATTATACAGGAAGCAAACAATGCATTATTAGGCTATCATAAGACCGGAATTGACTGTCAGTCACTGCATATTGACAAACATACTGTGTGTGAAATATGAGTATTTTTGGACTTGTTCCATTTAAAGATAATTAAATGGCTAATGTATCCACTTTCAGTACATGCCATCAAGGTTTTGTGTGCCTAACTGTGTGTCTAAGGTGTTCTCATCATTCTTCTATAAATTACATATCTTTTGGATAATTTGTCACTAACCGGCTACTCGTCCATGATTCACTTCTGTACATCTGGAATGGCTCTTAAGAACTATCTTTCTCACTGCATTTGACATAAACTGATTTCACAGAATATTCTACATCCTGTGAAATGCTTACGTTGTGAATATTTAACTTCTCAAATACATTTGCAGTTATCAGGGTACACAAGTATTTGAACACAATAACACTCCTATCAATACAAATATAATATTTTGAAATGAGAAGTGCTAAACAAGGTAGCAGTAGTAGTAGAAGTAGATTTTACCCCACTAGGACATCACACAAGCGATAAACACCCGATGACACAAAGTGCCACCATGTGGTTAAGGATCACCCGTTGGAGAGGTCCCCGAAACCGCATTCAGCCATTTATTTATGGCCGGGCTTTATTGGGGCCCCTGGCAAGAGCCAAGTTAGGGCTTCAAAATAACGAAAAATTGCATCCCACAAGGGGATGACTAGAAAATATCTAAACAAGATCCAATAACAAAACTTTAATACTTTTTTCAAATATAACTGAGCTTGATAATTTCCATGACAAAAACTGTTCGAGGTCCCAGCTTTCAATGTTCTTGTTTTTTTTTTTTAAGATCTCACACATTGTTCATGTTTTATATATTCTGCATTGTGTAACCATGTGATGTTGACTTTTTGGTTTTAGAGGATTCTTGTGAACAGCTCAACAAAAGGGTGTATTAATCTGCTTTTAGTCTTTCACCTAAACTGCTATGTTCATTCGATGCCTCACAATTAATTCTATTATTGATTTCATCACTCAGCTGTGTAGTTTCCTGAAATTGAGATAAACAGTACATGATATAGTTATATTTTGATCATCATTTGAATCCACTATTTCAAACTTAGCAGCTTTTTAATTTTTTAAACAAGTCTGATATAACACAGTAAATAAACTATTCAGATATTGCGCACTGATTTCAGTTAGAATCATGATGTAATGCCATGCAACTCACCTCAGAAGACTGTGCTAATATTATGGGTCCTCAAGCAAGACTCCTTCTGACATAATGAATATATTGCAATACAGATAATGTCCATTACGAGCCTAAACTGAGTTGGCACAGATGCACAGTGACCTAGGAAAGTTAAGAAATTCCTCCTGACTTAGCCTTCTGCATAAGAGACATTCTCCACAAAACTCTGCTGTATACTAACTAGATCAACTAGCAGGTAGTGATCACAGATCAGTTAAACTTGTAAAGATGAATTATATTTCTTAGGAGCAAAAGTCAATGCCTCGCTGGAATTACAAATGAGCTAGCTGGCTGGCATAGATCTGCCACGATGATAAATGAGTACTGTAAAAACATAAAAACAAGACATGGCAAAAAGAAAAAAAATAGTGGAAGGTCTAGACAAAGCAATATAGCAAACAGCTTATGAGTGTACTCAAAGAAGAGCGAGGTAAAGTAACAAACCATACTAGACTCAAAAACTATAAATTCTGAGGACCAGAGTCTACTAAGCCAAGAAGACAGGAGAGAGAGAGAGAGAGAGAGAGAGAGAGAGAGAGAGAGAGAGAGAGAGAGAGAGAGAGAGAGAGAGAGAGAGAATAAACTCAAGAAAACATTTAGCTTATACAGCAAAATATAAGAGATTGGGGAACATTAAACTAAACAGAATGACAGCAAGAAAGACTTCACAAAACCTTACTGGGGGAGGATAAAATTACAGCTGAAATGCAAACAGGACTTGGTTTAATGCAATAATGAAATTACTATTAGTTTATCGTCACACATTTTGTGTGTGTGTGTGTGTGTTGGCTCTAGACTTGATTATAAGGAGAACAGTAGCTACCAACTGAAGTTATATTTAATGGACTTTGACATAGCAGCCTGATGATCTGGACTTCACAAATGGCATTCCTACCTCTTGCAAATTAAAAACCTGATTTCCTTTGGAGAAACCTCACTCACATATATTTGGGTAGACAGGAGGAGAAGCTGAAGAAATAGACAGAGGTGTTCAAGAAATAAAAATAAAAAGATCATTTACAGCAGTATTCCCCAAACCTTTTTGGTTCACTTCTCCCTTTTCAGAGGGGAAAAAAAAAAATCGCCCAGCACCGCTCCCTCCCTGAATATATTATCATCATCTTGATGTGCCATGACGAAAAGCATAGGCATTCATCATTCTTTTCTAAACGATCAACTGAATCACAGATCAGTTAGTGCCCCCCCCCCCCCCCAATAAACTAGCCTACATGTTTTTTTGTACTGGATTCCCACTATGTTCCATCAAGCTTTTTTATTTTCATTACAGAAAGTCTCTATATGTCATTTAATTGGATTTGATTTTCTTCTTCTGAGTTTGGCTTCTGGATGCCTAGAGCAAATACCCCCCCCCCCCCCCCCCCCACACACACACACACACAAATTGAGTAGATCTATATTATTTGTATTTTCTAACATTGAGAACATCATTACTTTGTGTGATCAAGTGAAAATATATTGTTCAAATAATTTTTTGTTTGTTTTAGTTTTAGACTGATATGACTGAGCTTCCCTATAACAGTAGTTGGCAGTATTGTTTCTGTTATCACAGAATTTTAGGAGGCATAACCACATCTGCCTGTCATATTATATTGTTCTAATGACTTTGGATGAAGAAATGCATAGAAGAGGAGACTAACCTTACTTATCTATCTATATCCTCTTCATGTCGCTGTTGACACATAAGGCATTCACAAGTGATCTACATTGCTGCCGGTCTGCTGCTTTTCTGCCCATGGTATCCCATGTCAGTTTACATTCCTCCATTTGTTGTTCTACTGTCCTTTTCCAGGTTTCCTTAGGTTGTCCACATCTCCTTTTCCCATCTGCTGTCCTCCGGAAAGCTGTTTTTGCCAGTGTCACAAGGCATTCTGCAAACATGTCCAAGCCATTTCCATCGTCTTACTTTGATAAAATTTGCCAGTGATGCACATTCTGTTTTCCTCCTCAGTTCTTCAGTTGTGATTTTGTTTGGCCAAAATATTCGTAGAATTCTCCTTTAACATTTATTTTGAAAAGTCTATAATTTATGTGTAATTCCTGCTGCCATTTTCCAACATTCACTGTTGTATAATAGTATTCCTAAAATGTTGCTCTTGTATATTCTGAGTTTTGTCTTCAAACTAAATCCCTTGGACTTCCATTCATTGTTAAGCATGGCAAATGCTTAATTTGCTTTGTTGTTTATTCTTGATGTTACATCCTTTTCAGAATCTCCACCTGGAGTAACTTTACTTCCGAGGTATATAAATTCTTTAACTTCTATTGCTTCATCACTTAAGATAATTGGATTTTCTGTTTCAAGTTTATTTTGAGTCCTATCTTAAGGGCTGTTGTTGAAAGTCTTTCAATCTTTTCTTGAGCGTACACATGATGGCTTGATATAAGGCTGATATCATCTGCATAGTCTAAATCCTCTAAAACAGAGGTATGTGACCACCTGATGCCTCTTTTTCTATCTCGTGTAATTTCCTTCATCAGCCAGTCAATGGCCAAATTGAACAAAAAGGGGGATATTATACATCCCTGTCTGACTCTTGTGTTGATAAAGAAATTTTCTGTTGTATAACTGTCACAAATGACCTTGCATTGAAACTTAAGTAAATGGCTTTGATCAAATTTACTATTTTCTGTGGTACACCATAGTGACGCAAAATCTTCCATGGTGATTTTCTATGCAGGCTATCAAGGGCTTTTTCAAAACCCACAAAGGTAATATAAACTACATTATTCCAGTCGTTACTTTGTTTAAGTATTTGACGCATCGTGAAAATGTGATCAATACATGATTTCCCCGTTCTGTATCCTGCTTGCTCTTGCCTTATTATACAATCAAGTGTTTGAGTCATTCTTTTAACAATTATCCAGCTACAGGTTTTACTAGTTACTGATAGTAATGTAATACCTCTCCAGTTGTTGCAGTTTCCTAAATCTCCTTTCTTTGGTAACTTAATAATAGTACCCTTTTCCCACTCCTGTGGGATTTCTTCTTTGTTCCAGATTTCTTGAAAAATCTTACAAAATAGTTTTGGCATTTTAATTTCCTCCACTTTCAGAATTTTTGGGCAGATTCCATCACACCATGGTGCCCGGTTAACCATTTGAGCTTTAATCGCCTCCCTAACCTCTGCCTCTGAAAAATGTCTTCCTGTATCTCATTTATATCAGCAAGTACAGGTGGGTCTGGACCTTTTAGTAATTCCTGGAAGTGTTCTAGCCACCTAATTTTTCTTTCTCGGGTGTAATCATTTTTCCACTCTTTTGTTTTTGAAGGCAAATTTTGGTGTGATACTACATCTTGTTTCAGTTTCTTAGTTATGTTGTACAATGTTTTGATGTCCTGCTGATTTGCTGCTTCCTCTACTTCTGTTACTAGTTTTCCAATATACGAAAGTTTACCTGCTTTCGCTCCTGCTTTAACCTCATTGTTCTTTAGTGCATATTCTTTAGAAAATTTACCTTTCAATCTGGCTGATTTTGCATCTAACATTTGTTTTTTAATATTTCTCGTTGTGCTATTTTCTCCCACATCAATTGGGAAATCCACTCCTCATCTTTGACCTCCTAAATCCTAATATTTTCTTCCCTGCTAATTTGATTGCTTCCTTAAATTTGTCAATTACCTTTTCTGTTTCTTTTTGTAAAATGCTGAATCTGTTTTTGAATTGCTGTTTGATTTGTGTGTCCTGCAATTTTCCGACATCAAATAGATGCAATTTTTGTTCTCCTATTTTAGCTTTCCTTAGTGTTTAACCTGATTTTTCCAAAAAGTAAATTATGGTCACTACCTATATCCGATGATCTACATACACTGACGTCTTGAAGGGAATGCCTCCATTTTCTATTTATAAGAATATGGTCAATTTGGTTTTTTGATGTGTTTATCTGGAGATCTCCATGTGACCTTATGAATTGTTTTATGAGGGAAGAGTGTTCCTCCAATTATTAGGTCATTAGATCAGCTGAAGTTACGTAATCTCTCTCTGTTGTTGGTAATTTTCTCTGTCTGTTGTTGGTCATTTTCTATGTCTGTTGTTGGTCATTTTCTCTGTTCTATGTTTTCCCATTGTTCTCTTTCTCCCTGCATAGTCCTTTCCTACCTGAGCATTTAAGGCTCCCAGGATTAATAATACACCATGCCTTGGGATGTCTTCTACTACTGTTTTCAGACTGTTGTAAAAGCTGTCTTTTGTCTCCTCTTCTGCATCCTTTGTTGGTGCGTAAACAGACCAAGACAGATAATTTTGCAAATCTAGAATTGAACCTTCTATTCAAAAGTCGTTCACTTACAGGCTTCTATTCTATAAAAGTGTTGCTCACCCCTTTTTAATTATTATTGCGACTCCTTCAGCATGTTGTTCATCTGCTCTACCTGACAAGATTATGCAGTCATCTGTAATCAGGTTTTCTTTTTCCTGTCCCTGTCTTACATGCTTCTGTAATTCTTAAAATATGTACATTGTGTAGGTGCATCTCATGAAGAACGTGTTCCACTTTTCCAGTTTGATACAATCTTCTCACATGCCAACATCCAACACTCAGGTTTTTCTTTTTGGGAGAAAGAAGATTCACTGTTGGGCTGTTGACTTCCTTTCAGCTTTGAACCTCAGTCGTCATTTCACCAAATATCTGGCAAGCTTCGCTTCTTTCCACAGTTTCAATGATTTCACTTGTTCCTGTTTCCATAACAAAGTAATTTTTTTTCCACAGTAATGGGTTGTCAACCCTTTGCCCAACCCTCATCCTGGTGGACCAGGGTGCTAGTTTGACTTCTTCTCAAGATCTGTTTGGCATGGTTAAACCCGCCAGGGGAACAAATCCCCTGCCGGCACAGCTCTGGGAGTCATTAGGCTACTCAAGCCATCCCGCCATGACAAGGCATCAGCACCATGGGATGGAACCTTACTTATGCTAGGACAAAATGCAATGTGAAAACAGTTATGGCAGGGCAGATTGGACACATAGCCTTAGCTGGCCGCTGGTTCCTACAGGCAGACAAACAACACTGATGTTCTAATCCAGCAGCTTATGCAGCATGATTTGTTCCAAACGTACTGATATCACATCTCCTTTTGAGTAAACAAGGCAGGCAGGGGGAGTAATCATGTTGCACTGGCAATACCTGGCCCCTACCATAAGGTCTAGGTTGTGTGCTCTGGAGATTAACTGGTTGTGATCCATATGCTTCTCTATATAACACGGTAGAACAGTAACATTTGGAAAGAAGAAAGATCAAATGACAGTTTTAGACCCCAAATCTTTGCCTTGTTCTCTACTTTCTGCACTGACTTTTGAAGTGGGCAGGAAGATGTAGTGTTTTCAGTAGCTGTCAAAACAGCAAAGTCAACAAGCATTAGTTCTTTATAGCTATGGAGATCTACTGGTAACAACATATAGAAATGTTTGTTATGTAAACCACAGGTCTTTTACACTTCTCTGAGAATCCCTATCGGTTTTACCGACTGAACATCTGAACATTCAGTATAGTTTAGGAGGTTATTCATTTAAATTCTGCCAGATCGCTGGCCTCTTATTCAAAAATACTTGTGATAAACTGCTGCTTGTGGAACTTTCAGCTCAGGCCATCTTCCACTCAGGGTTCAAATACAGAAACATTAAAACACAACTAATAAAAAACGTTTTTTCTTTAATGGGAAGGATAAATATGATTGGTTATAGCATAATTTCTTTGTTCCTTTTGAAAATTAAGCAATTACTGGGATTTTAATAAGCTACACTACCTTGAGAAAGGTATGAACAATTTATAAAAAAACTCCCTACTCCCCACCCCCCAGCACTCGCCAGGGGGCGGTAGTGTCCACTTTGTGACACACTGCTTTACAGCATTAAAAATCTGCAGAAGTCAAAAATAGGTAAACTTAGTCCCAAACTTCGAAAATTTTACTCTTTTGAATCATAAATATGGAAAGTAAATAAACCAATGAATAAATTAGTAAATAAACAAACTGATCTGACCAAGATGGCGTCATAAACACCGAAAATTGTGACAAAAAGATGTGTTTATTCCTGGAAAGAATGTTAAATGTGTTAGCTTTGTGTAGTTGTTCAGTTGAAGATTCGCGACAGGCCCGGCAAGTCGGTGGAGGATTCAGCAGTTCAAGAAGAAATTCCCAAGATTAAAATAGTTGATGTTTTAGAAATAGGGAAAATAAAGGCCAGCAAGGTTTAGACCAGGGTAGGGACAATCAATTTATGTGGATAGTGAAATAAAGAAGGACAAGTGATAGAATTAATGGAGAAATATAATGTTAAAGTATTATGCTTATCAGAAGTGACAATGAAAGGACGAAGAATGAAGAAACTACATAAATATTAAGTTCTGATACAATCGGGAGCAGGAGAAATACAATGTGCAAAGCATGGAGTAGGATTTATCATCGATCCCGAAACTGAAAAAAAAAAATACTCGAGGTTAACTACATCTCGGAAAGAATTAAAGCTTGAAATTACAAGTAGGAAATAGTTTGGAGTTTTTTCTTTCTCCAAATATATGCTCCATGCAATGAAAATTACAGTGAGGAGGATTTAGATCAATTCTTTAAGGACCTGGATGACAAAATTTGTAAGACAGATAATAATGAAAAGCTGATCATGATGGGTGATTTTAATGGTAAGACAGGACGAGACAGAAGAACATTTACAAGATACCTAGGCTTTTATAGAGACAACAGCATTAGAAACAAAAATGGCAAAAGACTGATGGATATATGTGCACAACATGACCTTGTTATTACCAACACCTTCTTTCAACATAGAGCTTCACTAGTTTTTACATGGTATAAATGGAATGATCCAGATATTAAGAGTCAGACTGATTACATATTGATGAGAGAAAGAGACTTTCATGAATTTACAGATTTGAGAGTTATACCAAACTTGAGTTTAGCTACAGATAATAGGATGGTGATACTTGACAGAAAAATCAAGATAAGTTTTCAAACAAGAAAGAAATGTCATAAAAGTGACATAATAAAATAGAAAGAACTAGAATGTGTGGAAAACAGACGAGCATTTCAGCAAAAATTACAGAAAAATTATGAACAGCTTCCACAAAACACACATAGGGTAAATACAGAATAGGTGATGTTCAGAGACACCACTTTGAAAAAAGCACAAGAAATATGTGCAACTAAAAAGAAAAGTATCATAGGGCATAACATGGTGGTTTAAAGAAATAAGAAACATATTTTGAGCAATAAAAGGAAAGCCTATGGTATTTGGCTGAGGAGCAGAACAGAAGATTACATAACATACAGGATAATTAGAAGAGAAGTAAATAGAACTATCAGACAAGCAAAGAGAGATTTATGGGAAACATTTGGAATCAAGCTGGCTGAAGAAGAAAGAACAGCAGTGAAAAACTATTACAAAAAAACCAAAGGCACGAAAAACAGAAATGAAGAATACAACCCAACAGAAATTATTAATTATGAAGATGGCCAACCTTTAATAGAACCTAACAAAATTTTAGCAAGGTGGAGTAATTACTTTTAATCATTACTTTGCGGCACTAAAACAGATGAAAGCAAGGAATAACATAAAAACAACTCAAAACTAACGGCAGAGGAACTAGAGCCAGGTATATTATTAGATGAAGTAGAATATGTCATTTGTACTGCCCCCAGACTAAAGGCGACAGGTATTGATAATCTACCAGCTGAGGCAATTAACGAAGCAGGAGCAATATGGTTAAAGAGAATATTTCAGGTGGCATGGGAAAATCAAGAAACACCATCAGAATGGCAAACTGCTGTCATCGTCCCGCTATGGAAAAATAAAGTAAGTAAGTAAGAGGGACTGTACTAATTACAGAGGAATATCGCTTCTCAATAACACTTACAAAATGTATGCTAAGATCATCGAAAAAGGCTATGACCATTGATAGAGCATCAAATTTCAGAAGCACAGATGTGCTTTAAACAAAACAGAAGTTGCACAGATGCTATTTATACATTTAGACAACTATCAGAAAGAGCAATAGAACACAATAAGACATGTTTGTTGACATTCACAAAGCAAGAAAAAGCCTCCGATAAAAGTCAACAGGAATATGTTGTGAGAATGAATGAGGAAAAAGGGAATCAGCAATCATCTCAATAATATTTGCAAACACCTGTACACACGTAGTAAATGCTGCATTAGAACGAAGGCAGGGTTGTCAAGAACTTTTATAGTTGACTCTGGTGTGCGTCAGGGCTGTATACTATCACTGCTTCTTTTTATAACATACACAGATACTATATGTATTTGAAGAATATATTACAGAATTACTATTCGTACTATTCGCTGACGACCAGATACTCACAGAAAAAAGTACAGAATGCCTACAGAACCAACTAAATCAAATAAGTAACAAAGGGGTGAAATATAATATGAAAAAAAACACTACAAAGACAGAAACAATGGTTATAAGAAGACAGAAAGACAATTTAGAAATAAAATTAGAAAACAACACCTCAAGACAAACAGAGGAATTTAAGTATTATGGAGCAATTTTCACATCTGAAGGAAAACTGGACAGAGAAATTAGCTTAAGATGTGCTAAAGCTAATCAAGTAATGGGGCCACTATCTCCCCTGTTAACACACAAGCAGATACCCCTGAGTACTAAATTGAACCTATCAGAACTATTCTTTTGGCCAACACTATGCTATCAGTGCCAAACGTGGACACTTACAATCTCCAATGAATGTAAAATTGTGACAACAGAGATGAAATGCCTCAGAAGAGCTGCAGGAGTATCAAGGAAAGACAGAATACGAAATCATAAAATCAGACAAATACTAGGAATAAAGCCAGTCTTACAGGTCATCAAAGAACAACAATTGAAGTGGTTTAGACACCTAACAAGAATGCCCTGGTACTATCTGCCACAGCGAGCCACACTAAAACGTTACAAAGGGTATAGAGCAAGTAGAAGACCTCAGAAAATATGGAGTGATGGTATTAAGAACAGCCTAACAGAAATTAACATCAGTCTTAATTGTGCTCTTGACAGAGCTCATCAACGAATAAGAAAACTGCAATAACTTAATTAGAACCATGAATTCCCATCAAATATTTCAAGGCATTCTTGAGTAACAATTTTACAGGTCACACAAAAAGCCAAATTTTCTTACAATGACACGCACCTTATTTTTCTTCTTTCGTGGTAGTGGACAAGTGAGATTATTTTCCACACTCCTTGCAATTTCTTCTGGTTTACTCCATATCCTTGACAGCCATGGGCGAATGAATTTGTGGAACACCCACAATAAAAATGGGATAACAATGCAAGGTAGACAAACCATTTTGATCAGACTTTTGCTTTTCCCTGTCCAAACAAATCAATTTGAAAAATATGTTTAAAACAATTAAAATAAAATAAAACCCTGTTGAGTAGAACATGTCATGATGCACCTGCCATGGGAAACTATTATTTAAAAAACAAAAAAATTACAAATGGCCATGTCAATTGTCAATAATCTTTGAAACAATAATAAATAATTGAACAAACCATCTAAACTATATACAGTTGAGTCCACTTAAGTTTAACTCTTAAAAGACTAATTTCATTTAAGTCAACATGACCAGCTTAGTCCTGGCCATTTTCCTTCTTTGTCATTGTATAAAAAAAAATTTCACGTCCAACTCTGTTAACTCGAACATTTGGATCAGCTGAACCTAATAAATAAATGCTGACTTTATATGTGTCAAACTGTTCATTATTACATGCCCAATCTTTAAGGTATGTGTAGGATGAATAGTGTGGAAAGGACAAGCCATAACTGTCTTTTCCCATTTGTGCCTAGTACACAAGAAATTGCATTATGGTTGAAGAACAGTGTGGGGTTTCAGCATGAGGCTGGTGGTTTTTCTTTGATATTTCCTTTTTCTTTTCTTTCGATGTGTTTTAATATTCGTTAGCACCCCTGGCGTCTGAACTGACGATAAGCATAATTAAATATTTCAACATTTTTTATAATGTATTGCTATTTATTTGTTAATTTATGGTGTTTCCTAAGTGGTACAATTCTCTCAATGCTCCTGCATAGTATTAATGTATATTCTCTTCTATGTGTGACCTGGCTAAGTAGATTTTCAGATAAATGAAATAATTTCCTTAGGTCTCTGCAACTTCTACTTATCTAGACTCCACTGTATATAATTTATAAATTTTTTTCTCCTTTATTTGTTAGTATTTCAGGGTTTAATGACTTGAAATATTAACTGTCTGCCATTTTGATTTATTAATGACTTGAAAAGACAGTTATGGCTTGTCCTTTCCACTACTGGCCATTCTGAATCATTAATCAGACTCTCTGAATCATGAATCAGACTCAATGTTCGTTACTTCAGCAGCAGTGTGAATGGTAGGTTAATCTATCTTATCAACCCACACAAGGAGGCTGCATGGTCTCGAGGTATTGTGTCCGCCTCGAGTGCTAGAGGACCAGGGTTCATGCTTCCGTGAAGGCTGGGACTTTTTATATGGGCTTTTAGTAATTTCCCCTGGTCTCTGAATAGTGAGATCATTCGCCCGTGTGTATTGTTGTGCACATAGAAAAATCCCTTGGCAGTTGGAAATTGAAAAGAATAGCCTTACGGCGCTGCCCGGCAAAATTGGAAGTTGCAAATTTACCCAAAAATGTCAGAATCCTCGCGGGAGCCCGTGCACTGCTCTGAGCTACTTCGGACTCAGACTTGAGTTAGAAGTAGAATTGAGCACTTATAGGTGACTACCTGTGTGTCATGATGTTGATTCGTTGTTTAAACCTTAATCAATGCACACAAAACATACGTATAGTTTAAATGGTTAGCTCATTTATTTATTTACATATTATACCAAGGATAAATTATCCTAACATGAATTGGTGAGCATTACCAGAGCTGTCAGGGAATCTCAGAGTTGGCGGCCCCCAGAGGTGTAGTGTCCTTGGCGATCTCATCAGCTCGCCTTCAAATGCATGGGTGAAAAAGTTTATCAAAACACATTAGGAACAGGAGTAAAGTCTGCTAGCCAAATGTACAACTAAATGACAACCCTCGGTTAAAAGTTTGTGGAGTGAAGAGAATATTTTGCTGCTGAGACTCAACCCTTGACCAAGAGATTTACCCGCAGCTCATTGAGTAACATCTCCTGGGGGTGGCATCTCTCAGCAAGATTCTACCCATGTACATCCTCTGTCAACCCTCAGTGTCGTCATCACCACACTAAGGTACACCAGGACAGCAACCGTCCATCGGCTGTATAAACCCAAATGTTCGAAAAAAATAGATCCTACGGCACACGAGCAAGCTAAAAAGTCGACCATCAAAAATTGTATTGATTGGGGAAAAGTCCAAATATCCACATCCAGAGACATCATTCGCCCGAGTATTAGGACCAAACAGATAAAGTCATGCATGAGGCATGATTCTCCATTCTGTCGTGCTAACGGCTTGTTAAAGATGTCAAACGTGCGCCAAAAAAGAATGTGCCTATTTGTGTGGTCACAAAGGTCCAGAACCTGTGGGCTGCTCCCTGCTGATCTCCGGAGGGCGCAGCCCAAGTGGAGCGGGAGGCCTAATACGGTTGTGAGGTTAAACAGGCATGTGCAGGATGTGACGATTCCTTAGGTGAGCCCAGAACCAGAGCTCTATGTGTCGGCTCTGCATTTATGGAAGCCTCCTTGGATGGCAGGAAATGCTCATGATCTGCCCCTGCCTTCCCTTAAGGGCTAATCGTTCCACATAGGGCGGCCCCAAAGGGGGTACTCTGGGGGCAACACCTGGAGAGAAAGAGACAAAGAAGACACCACACAAAGCAGGCAACATCTCGACCCACACAAAACTATGGCCACAGTCATCCTAGAAATAGGCCTGACGCCTTCCCTTGAAGTCAGAGTACATCTGCCCGTGACGTAGGGAGCGGCAAAAGCCAGTAAAATGGTTGTACACGAAATCTCAGGTCCAGGTAAAAACCAAAAGTCTAAGCGGATAATTAACCAGGACCTTCCGCCACAATTCACAGCTGGTAAACGAAGAAAAAGTAATGTTATGTGAGTTTTTTGTTTAAAATCTACAACCACTGTCGCATTTTTTCATGCATCTGATAAAATTATCTGAGACATTTTTACCTAAGCACCTCCAGGCTTTATTCAAGAATTTCACCTATCAGGCCACATAGGCTAGCAATTTATATTAATATGATTTAATACACACCAAAATACTAACTTTTCATGTGTTAAAATTTTCAAAGTTACAACAGTAATAAATGAACAACACACCAGTAGTACATTCTTCTTTCTATCCCCAAGAGGAGCATAGGCCCTCAACCAACTCATGCCAAGTCGTTTTATCCTTCGCCATTACATGGATCTCACCATCTTTCTAACTTCATTCTCCAGCTCTCTTCTCCATGTGTTTTTGGCCTTCTTTTATTCCTATGCCCCTGTGGGTTCCAATGCAAAGACATTCTAGTTATGCTGTTCTACTGTTTTCTCAGTGTGTGTCCTATCCAACGCCAGCGTCTTTTCCTCACCTCTTGGTCCACTGGAGCCTGTTTAGTTCTCTCTCCAGTAGTACGTACATACCCATAAAGAGCAGCTAATCCATAGGTGTGCCATGACAGACTTCAGATTGGCCAAGTAGCTGTTCCGGTCAGCTGTAAAATGTGGGCTTACAACAGGTGTGTGGGTTTTTGGAGTTAAGTGAATAGTGGAGCAGCAATTTTTTTCATGCTTTCTATTTACTTTTTCTAACTAGGCTGTTGTGAAGTTTTAAGTGTTGTTAAGTATGCCTGCGATATGTTCTGTACCTAAGTGTTGGTCAAACTATGATATTTAAAGTGGATATGTGAGCGTATTCGAATTTCCTTTGGATGCTCAGTTAAGAGAAAGATGGCTGAAATTAGTTCCACTGAAAAATTAGACACCTGGGAGAACCAGTGCTTATCCAACGGTCTTTCCAGACAGATGACAGCATAAAGATGTTACTTGATATTACATAGATCTCAAATGATTGTAGACAACAATAAACCAAAAACCAAAACATGGCCATGGCTTGAAAATCTTGTAATCCACTACAATGCCTGGGACTGCAGTACAAATAAATATCTAAACAGCTTTACAGATTTAATGGAACATTCAGAGTAGTCACTGATGTATACTGCTGGATTTGTCTCTAGTAAGCAGAACAAAAAAAAATTTCATCTCGGCATCCCCCTTTTGTCAGCCTTCACTATAATTATATAATTTATGTGGTGGTATCCGCCACTGAAATCTTAATATCTCTGCTTAGAATTAACCTATAGGCTTCACTGAGGTATTGTTGAACTGGATATTTCATCTCTATCCAGCTGTGATTGTTTCATAAAGGCAATATTAGCATCTATGTTCCTTTAGATACATAACGCCCAGGCGGAAACTGCCAATTTCGGATGTGCTTAGGACCGGCAAATCCGAAAAAATGTTTCGTTTCTTAACCATTTACAAATTCATTTTTTAGTTTGTGTTTCTATCTGTTTAGAAATGAATATATGCGCCTGGAGTCATTCAGCAGAGATCACTCTAACAAATGGCACCTAACTTACACAGCAATCTATGTTCACTGAAATAAATTTTACTATTTGCCATACATTAGGAAAATTTCTTTAATATCTCTCGTTTTAGTTAAAAAGAAATGCTCTAAAGTGAAATTATTGGATTATGTGCCCATTTTTACATAAAACTGGGCAGTTTTGATGGAATTAGTCCAGGACGAAGTAGAAAGTTTGAATTTGTTCCCGATCATGTCTTGGGAAAATTTTCAAAATGGCTGCCGCATGGCATTACAAGACTATTTCAGACTGATGAATCTGATTATTTAGGAATATCAGTTAAATAAATGGAAGTTTCATTTCTACTAATCATCAGGGTTCATAGCCAAATTTACCAATCAATTTCAAGGCTTTTCAAGGTCTTTTTCAAGGTCTCCTTAGTTTTTTTCAAGGTTGTCTCGGTGTAATACTGAAACAAGATTTTTGCCTTGTTCAAGGGTGTACTGAGCACACAAGGTACTTCATTTTTGCCACATGTGTTGGTATACCAGCACAGATATCATCATCATGTAGCATTTCCTTCGTCCTGACAAAAAAAACCTCGGTCTCTCACCAGCTCTCCCGCCTCATGTACTTTTTTATACTCAAGGAGTCACTTATATCCTGTGCCCATCTTCGTGTTGGTCGGCCCCTCAGCTTGATATAGTGTTTGAAATTTTTTTTTAGGGCTTGGTGGTAGAGGGCAGCAAACTGAAGTCCTGTCTGTTCTGGACCTGGTACATGAGAGGGTTAGGGGAGAGAGAGAGAG